CCAATCAGCTGGGATTCGAGCTGGATATTGCGGCACACCTGGGGGCAGCTCTGGTCCTGTCAGCCCCCTGCGCCCCCTCCGGTCTTCTTGACACCGGGCCCAGGTGGGAGAATGGATTACAGTGAGGTAGATACTACGCAAGTCTACTCTCAGTATAATCCAGCGCAAGACAACCTCCCTGAAGTCTCGTGATATTCGCAGCATCGTACTCAACTCCTAGGGTTCTGGGTTCAATCCTAGCAGCCGATCAAGCAAAATTGTAAGCAAAGCAGGACCTACCTAAAGTTAGGATGCGAGATTCTGATCAGTTCGTAGGCTCGCTGGCGCAAGGTCTTGCCGAAGAGGTAGGCAATACCGTACTCAGTGACGACGTAATGCACGTGGGCCCGGGTGCATGTCACCCCACTGCCAGGCGACAGCGTCGGTACTATGGAGGATTTGCCCTCGGAGGTCAGGGAGTTCAGGGTGATTATGGGGCGCCCATGTCCATCTAGCGACAGGGAAGCTCCTCGGATGAATTCAATTTGGCCGCCGGGACCTGCAGGGCGTTGAGTTTCAAAAAATGAATATGGTTCAAGAGTGAAACAAAATCCGGATTTCGGTGAGGTTTTCTTAAAAAAAGGTCTTTCGACCAGGATGTATCTGGTCTTGCACGGGAACCGAATTAACAATTTTTCTGTTTCATTTAAAGGAAACAAAAACAGTCAGTAGGGTGAAAGGTTTGCTTAAGGCTCTTTCGCAGGTTGGGTTCATCCGCCACTAATCCCGTCTTCTTCTGCCGAAAGGCGGCTTCTCTTAAATTTTAGTGTGTTTCTGTTATTTTGACGAATGTATTTAGATGTAATTGCTCCACGGCTTCACAGGTGGTCGATGGATGACTGAAGATACGGCCTTGGGTTTGGTTGTGGTCCGTGTAGATTCTAGGGCGTCGATGGTTTTTAGTTGACCTCGCTGCTACCAGCAAGCCAATCCACCAAGCTTAGTGAGGGAGGAGCAAATGGCATCCCGCAGTCCCTTCCCTTTAGGTTTTTCGTGCGTACGTCATGTACAATATAAACCTACAGTAGATTCACTATCTCATGAAATCGAACGATTTTTACAAGTAAGTCCCTCTTACTCAAACGCAGCCCAAGCTGTGGCTCCCAAAGCCTTACAACAATAAAGTAATGGTTGTTCTTCATAAAAGGGCATATTGTGATTTATGAAGGAATATAAAGTTTTATAGAAATATCAACTTTTTTAGCAAAGTGCGAAATTCCGAAAAAGTGGAAATCGCGCGTATTAGGTAAACTTATGTTTTACATATAAAGGAAGCCTGTTCATGCAAAACCACCGAGTAATACAAGCAGCACCAGTAAGATTACGTTGGAAAATAATCCTTTTGTAAAGTTTTTGAATGCATATGCTTCCATATTACGTGCAAAGTAATGAATGGCTGTTACCGAACAGCACAAATTTCGAGTATGTATTCTAACGCGTTTTCACGAGAACTGTTAGTTAATTCTTTCGTTTATGCATAACTTGAGTTACGCTGGACTAAGTCAACTACGTTTTCACTTGATATGCCCCATTCGGAGATCACGGGATTAATATATTTCCTAAGCTCACCTGCGGACATTCTGGTCAGTGAATAATAAATTTAAATAAAATTTTCAGGTACAATTGTAAACGTACCATTTTTTGTACACTTAGAATTATTGCCTTCCGCCACATTTTTCTGTAATTATTTTGATATTTCCATTAAGAAGAGGTTGAGATCTTCCTTGAAATGCTAATTAAGACTTTACGATTTTCACTGGTTTCAGTCGATTGACAATAAATAATGATTTTCTTCTACGTGCTTTTCAAAACCTTCAAAATAAGATATATCTTAAAAGCATTTA